TGCGGGCTCCGCGGGTGCCCCCCCGGCCCTGCCTCTCGCCCCCCCCAGGTGTTCTTCGACCTGCGGATCGGCGAGGAGGACGTGGGCCGCGTCGTCATTGGGCTCTTTGGCAAGACGGTGCCCAAGACAGTGGAGAACTTTGTGGCGTTGGCCACCGGAGAGGTGAGCGGCCAGCGGTCCCCTGGCTGGGCTTCACCTGGCTCCCTGGGCTGCTCCTGCTTGTCGTCGCAGGGCAGCACCGGGCAGAGGGAGCTCTGGTCCATCCCTCTGCCTCACTCCCTTCTCTCTCTCCCCGCCCCCAGAAAGGATTCGGCTTCAAGGGCAGCAAGTTTCACCGTGTGATCAAGGACTTCATGATCCAGGGAGGAGACTTCACCCGCGGAGATGGCACCGGAGGTAATTTGGCTGACGCCAGCCCGGAGACAGCAGCCACGCTCCCAACCCGCTGCCTGGGCGCCTTGGGGACCAGTGTGGAGCTGGAGTGTGGTACCACAGTGGGGACAAGTGGGCATGAGCGGGCCTCGAAGCGGAGCTCGGTGCTGGGGAGGGATGAGCGCAGTGAGGCTCAGCACCTGAATGTAACCCATGTAACTGGGCCCTCTGCCCCGGGAGGAGCTCGAGCCTCCTCACTGAGAAAATGTTCCTCTGTAGCTGCCGGTGCCTCTGCCGGGCATCCTGGCCACCGGGACACGTTTAGTCCGGTAGCAGCAGAGTTCAAACCTCCCACCAGCACCTAGCAAATGTTAGTGAAGTTGATGATATCAGCATTTGGGCTTGTTAGCTCTTACCCAACCTGCTCCTCCTCAGGCCACAGCCTACAGCCGCGCGGGGTCAGGTCTGCACTCGCACGGCCTCCTGCTCCGGTCCCATGGGGGCGTGACCCCTCCTGCCCAGCTTGCAGGGTGCTTTTACCTCCCCCCAGTAACTGGTAGCTCATGGTTCGCTGCAGCCCAGCGGTGCTGGTCATTAGTACCCCTCTAGATGGGCTCATTCACTCCACCCAGCCTGTGGAGAGAGCCGCCATCACCACGCCCACACTGACACGAGAGCGACACGGCCGCCTTTTTCCTCCCCCTTAGGAAAAAGTATCTACGGGGATCGCTTCCCTGACGAGAACTTCAAGCTGAAGCACTATGGGCCTGGCTGGGTGAGCATGGCCAACGCCGGCAAGGACACCAACGGTTCCCAGTTCTTCATCACCACAGTGAAGACGCCGTGGCTGGACGGCAAGCACGTGGTGTTCGGCAAAGTGCTGGAGGGCATGGTAAGGGGGAGGTGCTGGGTGGTGAGGGGGCAGTTGGTTCCCACGGGGTGAGCGGCTCCAGGCAGATGCGCTGTGGAGAACAGGCTGGGAGATGCCTTCTGGGATGGGGATTGCGCTGAGCTGGCTCTGCCCGCGCCTGGCACAGCCCCGCTCTCACGCCTCTGCTTTCCCCAGGACGTGGTGAGGAAGGTGGAGAGCACGAAGACGGACAGCCGGGACAAGCCCCTGAAGGACGTCGCCATCGCCGACTGTGGCACCATTGAGGTGGAGAAGCCATTTGCCATCGCCAAAGAGTAATCTGCCCTCCCGGCTCCTCAACCTGGCACGGGGTCCTGCGCTCTGCAAGGGGCCCGACCGCACAGGGCCACGGCCCTGGGGCTGTGCTGCTCCCCCTGGGCGTTTCCCTGCCGTCCTGGGGCGGGAGAGCCCCCACAGAGCTCCTGCTGCCCAGCGTTCCCCTCACCCTGCTGCCTTCCAGCCGGCCGGCGGGCGGGACGGGGCGCTGGCTCCTCTTCCCATCACTTTTGTAAGAAGCACACGCACCAATAAATGTGACCAATGTGTTTTTTTTATTAAAAAAGAGTTGCCTCTCCTCTGCTCTCGGGGGGGTGTGGATCGCTGACGCATCCCTCAGCCTTCCACCCCTCTTCCCCGTTTCGTCGAGCTGAGAGCGGGCGCCTCGCTTGGCCTCAGATTTGCTTTGCAGAATTGGAGCACAGCGATCTTTTGCCAATCATCAAGACCGAGTGATCTGTTGCACCAAAGCCCGGATGCTGAGGGGTTTTGCAGCACAGTTCAGGGTCCAAAAGCTCCCTCCACCCCCAAAACATCCAGGCAGAAGGCAGAGCTGCTCTCCCTGCGAAGGCACAGCGGGCAGTGGGGGGTGAGCAGTGCCAGCCTGGAGAGCAGCTGGGGCTCCCGCCATCCCCCTTGGCTTCTCCCACTGGGTTTTCCTGCCCTGTCCCAGCGGGGAGGAGTGATGTTTGCCGCAGGGATCCTTTCTGGCGCCCAGCTGCTCACCATGGTGGGGCTGGGCGCTGGGTGGGTGCCCAGGAGCCCAGCAGGCCGGGGGCTTGGGGCGCAGCCTGGCTGGGGGCGCAGCTCAGGGGGATGTAGAAGCCCTGCAGCACCCCGCTCAGCACGGCATCGGGGAGTGGGTCTGCGAGGAAAAGCGGGAGCTAGAGCACCTTTGTTTCCCTCCCAGGCCCCACGAAAGGAAAAACACGTTGTGGGGGCCCAGAAGAGCCTTTTCCCATGGGTGCGATGGGGGCCGGCACCCGAGGGCCCGCTCCTTACCGGTGCCCGGTGGCCGCGCGTAAGGGTCGGTGCAGAAGCTGACAACGGGTCGCTGGGAGAGCAGGCGGCC